GCTTGTGGAACTTTTGAGTGTGGTGTGAGAAATTGGTCTCATGACAAGCCAGGTTATTGCTTATCAGATATAACACACTGAAACTGACAAAGATAGTGATTTTGCAGGTCTTCATGGATGTGCCTCTGCAAGTTTGTGAGGCAAGGGACCCTAAGGGCTTGTACAAACTTGCACGAGCTGGAAAAATTAAAGGTAATTGACCAAAGACTTCTTGATGTTAATTGTAATGAGCCTTGATGAGGAGTGTTCCTTTCTTATCTTTTTGCTCATCAGATTTCTTTTTTGTCATTTTTTCTTTTGTGGGTTGGGTGAGTGCTGAGAGTGATTTTGTTTCTTTTTTGTGTGAAATTTAGTAGAACAAAGATTGGCCATCCTCAAGTATATTTCTCCTGGCAATCACCTTTAACTGTTTTTTGGGCATACCTTCTTGTGATTAATTGTAGAAGGTGTACAGATGCTGGATTTCCAAGCTGATATTTGTCTCAACGAGTTCAGTACAATGTTTTCTGTTTTCTTTTGTCGATTTTTTAGACTTTCTGATATTTCATCCTTCAGATGTTGGTTGAAGTTTCCTAATGCCAGAAACCAAGATAGAATTATCCATGGATCCTCATCTAGTTGTAGTCCTTTTTATTATTAATTTTTTTTTTTGTGTAATCAAACAATAACATCTTTCACTCATAATTAAAATATTTATATAATATGAGCAACTGCTCTCATGTCTTCTTTGGCCAGACTGGTTAACCAAAGAGGAAAGGAATCTTTCCACTCAATTTCTTTACTCAAGTTAATGGCAAATTTTGCCAATCCGTGACTCACAAAGTTACCCTCTCTTAATGAAAGAAAAGCAACAATTACAAAAACCGACTCTCATCTGTTGGATGTCCTCAAGTATGGTTCCAATTTGGGGTCCTCCTGTTTTTCCCTCGTTAATTTTGTCAATTAGGTTTTTGCAGTCGGATTGAAAGCACACCATTTGCTGGTTCTTCCCTGGCCTTGATAAGTGCAAGCCTGATTGCTAAGGCTTTCCTCCTCAATGGGGTCATAGTATCTTTCCTCAGGTCCAGCCCAAGTCACCTATAGTTTCCCTTCATTCATGATTCCAAGCTGGAATTCCCCGTCCAGACCTGTTCTTCTTTACTTGTAGTGCTGCATCAGTGTTCATCATCACTGTCCCCTCCAATGGAGGTTTCCATAGCACTTCCCTGGTTGCACAACATGCCTTGTGCTCTGCTAGATCTTCTACATTTTTCTGTACTTGGTCATATTCATTCCATTCTCCAATTGATTTGTTGATGATTGACGTGACTGGATTCTTTCTTTCATTTCTAAACTGGATTGCATTCCTAGATCTCCAAATCTGCCGGAGCAAATTAACTATCAGATTCATATGATCCTGGTTGCATCTCTCTTTAGCTGCATCCATAACCCTTCCCCAGAGCCAAAAATTATGTTCAGGCCATCCCAACTGAGAGGGGCACCCTTCCACTTTGTAGTCAGATCGTTCGAATATCCATTTATCTATTTGTGTAATTCTCTGTTTTGTAGGCTTCACAGGGATTGATGACCCATACGAGCCACCACTTAATTCAGAGGTACGTTTCCGCTTTAGTGGGTCACAAATGTCATCCAAAATGCAGTAGTGTGCTCTCCTCTTCGAGAATGAACGTCAATATGTCCTGTTTGCAACCATTTTAAAATTTACTGGCATATGAACTGCGCAAGTACCTCGACCTTAAAATACCTATAACTATTTCTTGTCTAGGATTCTGGCCTGTTATTTGTTCATCCTTTCTGGTGCTGCGCATTTTCGGGACTTTGATTTGGTGTTCATGGCATATACTTTTATGATTGCAGATAGTGTTACACCAGAAGGTTGGGCTATGTGATTCTCCACATGCTTTGGCTGAAACAGTGATCTCATACTTGGAGGAAAAAGGATACCTGGAGCCATAATTTGCATGTGCCTGCCTCTCTTCAATGGACATTGAGGCACCGACTGCTGTACATTTCAAAATAATAATAAGCTTTATGTAAAGGAAACTGCTCGTTTCCTTTGTGCATAATTTGTCATGTATCGTGTAAATTTATTACGTTCATTGATTTGAATGTAAAACTGTTCGTAGACTGTTTTTTTAAAAGAACGTGTAATGTATTGCGCGACTTTTAGTAGCTTGATTGCCATGAATGAGATGAAATCGTAATGAATCTTTTGTAGTTATAGGAGGACGAGGAAAGGTATTGCGTAGTCTAAGCTTGTTTTATCATTTTAAAATTGTAAAAAAAAAAAAAACTTTAAAAAAAAATTCTGGAAATAATATAATGCTTGACACCTAAATGTTACCAAAATTAATTAATTAATTAATTTTTATCTCATCTAAACAGAAAAGGACAATTGCAAGTTCTGTTTTGACTACTGCACATCATCAATCGGTGCTTTTAACCACCTGTAATGCATTCAGGTGAAAAATCAAAAATGAAATCCCACCCGACCCGTGTCTGAAGCCCCTTGAAGTTACATATGCTGATATCGTGTTTTAGCGTGTTTCATTGGATTCAATTCCACTTTCAAGTTTCACCACAATGATTTGTTTGCCAAAAACAGGCACTGATTGATGGTGCAGGTCCAAAATCCAAATACATCAACGACCATTGCTCGTCTGCCAATGACTCGTGTTCACGGAGCTTTCGGAACCAAAACCCACCTGAATTGATTTGACGCGGGTTGAAGGCGAGCATAATTACGTAAAAAGAAAACGTTGGAAAGTAGACACCTAACTAATTTATGGACAGTCATATACATATCCTCACTCACATAATACTCCATTATACAAATTACATCCTGTATTAAATCTACCACCCAACCCAACTAGCATAATCTACATATATATATATATATATAGAAGTTGACCTTTGACCCAAAAAAAAAAAAAAAAACTAGCATAATCTACATGCTGGGGGATTCCACAAAAAAAAAGAAAAAGAAAAAAAAAAGAAAAAGGTTTCTTTCCCTCTTATTATTCAAAATTTCCGGAGTTACATTCGATATCCAAAATCAATAATGAGAATGAAGAGACTCTTCCATCTCTCCGAGGCTCTTCATTCTCATTTTCCACTTATTATTTCGCACGGAATAACATCAATCAACCGAATGGTATTAATTTTCAAAGAAGAGGGACACCCAGTTCACTTCCTCTCCGATAGGCCATTAAGAAGCAGACCATTAGAGCCGCCGTGAAGGACCTGGCGACGGCTGCAACTCCCTCGTAAACCACAGCAAAACGCAGTTCCTGAAGGCCCCAGATTATCGAAATGCACCGTCCCAAAGCGCCGACCACCCCTGCCAACAATAATATTGCCATCCGAGGCAGAGTCCGTAATTTAAGAGCTTCTCTTCTCTACTTCCGATTCTGTGATAGTAACTGATTCGGATGAAGGTTAGTGTGAGAAGTGCGAAAGATTGTACTACTACAACTACTACTTAAACAGAGAAAAAGGAAAAAGGTGGTGCGGTGTTCCGTGTTCGCTTAAAGAGAGAAAAGACAGAGAGTTGGGTTCATTTGTGGTTGGAAGGAACTGGGAAGTTTGCCACCCAACTTTTTTAATCTGCATCAATGCCCACTTTCCTAGAGAATCACGCCATTAATGATAAATCACAAATTAATTACACATAGCAACTTGCTATCTTTAGAACTAGAAATTTACTACAGTACTGTGAAGACGGGGAGGAATTGGTTCTGCTTACCTGCTTTTGATGCTGCTAATTAATTGCACCGGTAGCTTTCTGGGCTTTTACTTTTACCAAAAGGGTTAATTACATTAGCCTCCCTTATGGTTTTGCCAAACCGCCGTTGCACCCCTCTAGGTTTGAAATTTTACATTCAACCCCTCAAACTTGATGGATGCTAAATGATGTCAAAGAGGATCCTATTATGACATTAATGCCCAGCACATGACAGGAAAATACCAAAAAAAAAAAAAGGGTAAAACAAAGAGCAAAGGTAATTTGGGGAGGAAGGACCCACAAGATCTGAAAGACGACATTGCAATTTAATTAATTGTCTCATTTTTTTTTTCTTTATTGGTATGAGTTTGGAACTTTATGTTACCATTTGGCCTTGCTTGAGGTAGATGTAATATTTCAAACCTCAAGAGGAGGTGTAATGGTAGTTTAGTCAAATCATAAGGGAGGCAAATGTAATTAATTCATACCAAAACGAGGAGCGGTATTATTGTACCAACCCCCAAAAAAAAAACTTTTGTTTTTTTTTTTTTTAAGTTTGCTTTGTTGGATCCACAGGAACTCAAGAATTTTAATTGGTATTATTGTACCTACACATGTGCGTAGAGGCAGATACTTCCAATACCATTGGCTATTATTGGTTAAAAAAAAAAAAAGATTTAGAACAAAAAGAGTTGAAATTCTGTCATTGAGCCAGAATGAGAAAGCCTATCTAAGTTACTTCCATGCTTAATAAAGGCACCACTCTAGAAATTCGACGGTACACAAAATGAGGATACACGTAACTCTACATCTCGTAATAGTAAGAAATGCTTTTTTTTGAAGTTTTGTTGGCGTAAAAAAATTTTAAACACAAAACAAAAAAGAAGAATTTTTGTTATTTTTTGATCGTAAGGGGTAGCTAATTTTGGCCTTGTTTGGATTATAATTTTGTATAGAAAAATTATTACGTTTGCTTCTTATGAATACATTTTTTTAATTACTTTTTACAGTGTCATTTTTAATAAAATTTTTTAAAAATAGCAATTGAAACGGCATTGAATTTTGTGCAGTAAAATGAACTCCAGAATGAGACAATTATAATTTGACTGCCGGCCTGCCTCTACAACCGTCAATTACACCCACTTCCCAGGGTCCCGCCACTCTTTCTTGAGCCCTCGCGTCGCGGGGAAAACGTAGGTGGGGTTTAAAAAATAAAAAATAAAAAATAAAAAAAAGGGCGAGGGAGAGACCTGAGGGGAGGAAAATAAGGGAAAAGAAAAAAGGAAAACGGAGCACCGCCTTGGCAATTGGATTTTGTAGTTCCGGGTCTGAAGTTGGATATCATACGAGCTGCGGGAGGTTCATATTTTGTAAGTTGATGTTTGCAGTCCACCGCCCAGGAGCCCAGAATGTTGACACAATCCGCTTAAAACTCAATCCAGAAACCGCGCTTTCTCGTCTGAGGAAGCACCTCACCTCTAGGCTCTAACTCTCTAAGTAGGAGTGGTAATTAGAGTAATAATAATAAAAAAAAAGCCCTAATCCCTTCGGGAAGGAATCAGGTCTGCTGCAGTTGAATTCAGCTCAACCTCGGCTGAATACAAGTTGGACGATGGGGAAGAAACAGCACAGCAAAGATCGGTTGTTCCTAACGAAGACGGAATGGGCAACGGAGTGGGGAGGTGCAAAATCCAAAGAAATTCGCACGCCTTTCAAACGCCTCCCTTTCTATTGCTGCGCGTCCGTACTTTTTCTAATTTCCATTCATACTCCTCACCTGTTTTTTCTTTCTGGCTAAATCATTTGTTGGATTTTAAATCGCAGTCTTACGTTCACCCCATTCGAGGATCCGGTTTGCACCAAAGACGGCAACGTCTTCGACATCATGTGAGCATTTTGTCTTTCACTATATTAATTCGGTCGTGACTCTTTTCTCTCTTTCTCTCTCTACTGGAATACGTAACTTTTTTGATTTAAGCTTGTCAATTTCAATAAGGGAATGTGGCTTTTGATGTTTTCGTTAGGAACATAGTTCCTTACATTAGGAAGTTTGGGAAGAATCCGGTTACCGGGGCTCCGCTCAAGCCAGAGGACTTAATTCCACTTACTTTCCATAAGAATGCTGAAGGTGAATATATTTTCTTCAGCTGTCTTGGTGTTGAATTTTCCTCCTAACATTTTGAATAAGACGTTTAATTGCACCTGGATTGATTACTCAGTGCTGAACATCGTGACCGTGTTAATGTTTATATCTGTGATGATGAAACTTCATTTTTAGCTTAAAAAAAAACATATAGAAACTCTCCAGCAACCGTCACTGAGGACTTCAAGTTTTTCTACGTGAACTAAAGCAATTTTCAAAACTTATTGACCTTTGCTGTTGTTTAATTAAAAGTCAACCCTTGTGTTTCTTATGGTGTAGGCATGTAGCTGATAATTTTCATTCTTCTGTACTATCATTTTTTTCTTTGGGTCATTTTCTCTTTTGGTGCATATATTTCATATACTTTGGGTGATTTTTTTTCTGTACATACAATCTATGATGTAAACTGATTCAGAGTGCAGTTGATACAAATCTCTTTCTTTGTCAAGAAACTGGTAGTAATGCATAAATTACTCTCATTGGTACTGGGTTTTGTAATTCTTTCAGCATGTTGATAACAGTGATTTACTAGTTGTCTTCAGTTAGTGTAGGCTAATACAGTGAGAGCTCTTCTGATATGGAAAACTACGAGTGCTATTCAACTGTCTTATCTAGTCCATGAAGTGGAGAGGAAGCAAGCTAGGATGATATTTTCCCTGTGTGATTTTGCTGAAGTTCAGGATATTGACTTCTCCTTTGCATTATTGTTCTTAGTTTAAGTTTTTATGATTTTCTGAATTACAAACTGATTGGTAGCCGGATTTTACGTTTTTGGGCAGTATATTGAATCATTCAGTTATTTGCATCCTTTGTTCCTTATTATATTGACCCAAAAGTAGTTTACTATGCATGGTTCAGGATCTGTGTTTTGTTTTGTTTTTGTCCACAAAACTGGAGTTAAGCCATGGAGTGGATTTATCAACTAATGGCAGGAGAGTGATTGGTATATCACTCAGTGGATGTTGTATGAAGGGGCAAGAAGTGTGAAGATAGCTCAAACTTTTTTATTTTATTTTATTTTATTTCTAAAACTGTTTTCTGTACAGCAGTGACATAACCTGACAGTGCTATTGGATGTAAACAAATAACGTTTATAATCATGAAAAATCATGCTTGTCCAAGGACCAGATGTTTTGTGGCGCTTAAGATATACGCATAGTTTGTATATTATGAACTTTTCTCGCTGTAGTTGTATCCTGACAAATCTTTGTTCTTATTATCGCTGGTTCTCCATTATTACTTGTGCGCCACCATTTCACCTAAACTTCTCATGTTCCATTTGGTATGGACAGGTAAATGCACATGCATGATATGATAGCCATCTTTTAGCATGAAGTTTCTCAGTCTTTGCTCATCTGGTATAGCAATGCAGGCGTTTAATGCCACATATAGTGTTATCCATTATTGTGTTTATGCAGGCGAATATCATTGTCCAGTGCTGAATAAGGTTTTTACAGAGTTTACACACATAGTTGCAGTGAAGACTACTGGGAATGTGTTCTGTTATGAGGTACTTTTTTTTATACTACATTTCCTGTTTCCTGATGTTAATCCCCTGTTGTCTTGGCACAAATTTACCATAAGATATTTTGTAGGCTATTAAAGAACTAAACCTTAAAACCAAGAACTGGAAGGAGCTCCTTACAGATGAACCATTCACTAGGGAAGACCTAATAACTATACAAGTAAGTTCCAATATAAGTCTCCTGCTTGGCAGTGATGTGCAGTTAATTTAGACATTTGGCAGTGTGATTGTAATACAGTTATCCTGATTTGTTTGATTGTCTGCTATAGAATCCAAATGCACTCGACAGCAGGGCTCTCCTTGATTTTGATCACGTCAAAAATAGTTTGAAAGTTGACGATGAAGGTGAAATATTGGTTTATTGTCCTTGTCAATTAGCTGTTATATGGGTCTACAAGTTCACTTTTTGAAGCAATTTTTGCAGCATTAAAAAGGATGGAATCAGATCCCACATATAATATAAATGTTACTGGGGATATCAAGCAGATGCTAAAGGAACTTGGCACTGAACAAGCAAAGGAAATTGCTCTGCATGGTGGAGGTGGAATCAAGGCAAAAAATGAAAGAGCTGCTGCACTTGAGGCTATATTGGCTGCAAGGTCACGCATAAAGGATGAGTCCAATGGGAATGGTGAGTCAGCCAAGAAGGCTTATAGTATTGTGGATGCTGCTTCTGCCTCTGTTCATGGAAGAAGTGCAAATTCTGCAAAGTCTGCTTCAGATGATAAAACAGCTGCTAGAATAGCTTTGCACATGGCGGGTGAGAGGACGCCAGTGAATGCCAAGCTGGTTAGCATCTTTTTATTGAAAAGACGCCTGATATTTTAGCCTTGGTTCTGACAGACAATACTTATGTCTTCTTTGTGAATGATCTGCAACATACTAACCATTACTTAAAGACAAGCATACCCCAACTTTACCCTTAGGTGTCTAGACTGAGCTTCCTATTTTCATTCAATTAGTGGGTGTTTGGTGAGAGTGACGAAGGTTAAAATGTTGGCTAAACAAAACTCTTTTTTTTTGGTTGCTTTGGAATTACCCAATAAATTGGACTCGAGTAATTGCAGAAAAAGGTGTAATTGTCCCTTTCATTGTTTTACTTCTGGGGTATAAAAAGAATGTAAACAAATCATTCAATGCGAGATGCTTTTCTTGCCAACAGTAAATACAATTAGGCAAAACTCAAATGATACCTGAAGAGTTGAGTCATCATTGGTAAATCAGCATGACATAGTATTTTGTTCTTCTGTGTGCTCCAGGTAAAGAGTCGTTTTACCACTGGTGCTGCTTCGCGGTCCTTCACTTCTACTGCTTTTGATCCTGTTACCCAAAATGAGTATGAGTACATCAAAGTTGAGAAGAACCCAAAGAAGAAAGGCTATGTTCGCCTGCAAACAACACACGGTGATCTAAATATTGAGCTGCACTGTGATATAACTCCAAGAACATGCGAGAACTTCATCAGTTTATGTGAACGTGGGTATTACAATGGAGTAGCTTTCCACAGAAATATAAGGTACTCTAAGCTTATCTTTTACACCAAAACTAGGCGTAGAAGATCTTTAATGATTGGAATATGCTTGTTGACAAGGAGGATTGTGCTTTTTATGATATACAGGAACTTTATGATTCAAGGTGGAGATCCCACTGGGACTGGAAAAGGGGGTGAGTCGATATGGGGAAAGCCCTTCAAAGATGAACTAAACTCTAAATTGCTTCATTCTGGAAGGGGTGTTGTTAGCATGGCCAACTCTGGTCCTCACACAAATGGTTCACAGTTCTTCATCCTGTACAAATCTGCAAATCATTTGAACTTCAAACACACAGTGTTTGGTGGAGTTGTAGGAGGTTTGACAACGCTTTCTGCCATGGAGAAGGTCCCTGTTGATGATGATGACCGACCTCTGGTTAGTGGTTCCTCTTTTAAGTCTCCTACTCATTCTGAGCTTTTGCTGTGTTTGATACAGGCAACATATGTTTCTAAATTCTTAGTTGTGTATACCAAACATTACCAGTCCCAAATTTGGCAAAGCCTTTTTTTTTTTTAACAACAAGACAGAGTCCTTTTATAGAATTTGAAAGTCAGATGTTTAACTTGTACAGTTGTTTGATTATTTTGTGTTTATCTTGTTGTCAAACTGCTAAATAGGTGGTGTTTAAATTTTTGGGCGCAATTCTTCCCTTGCCATTGACTTTTAATTTTCTTTCTCCTCCTGTTCCCTTGCAGGAAGAAATCAAGATAACTGAAGTAGAAATATATGTCAATCCTTATGCAGAATCTGATGAAGAGGATGAGAAGAAGAGTACTAATGAGAACAATGCTGAAGATGAAGAAAATGTTAGTCCTGGATCTGATATTGTTCAAGCTGTCTTGCGTCTGTATTTTTTCCCCCACTTCTTGCATTTCAGGATAAGGTTGGCTCATGGTACAGCAATCCAGGGACTGGAACTTCAGGGAGTCAAGGTTTGGGTGGTGGTGTAGGGAAGTACTTGAAAGCAAGGAATTCACAGGTTGAGTCTACTACTGCTGTTGACAGCAGTCAACCCGCGGTTTCTGTGACAAAGAAAAGAAAAGTAGGTGTCTCAACAGGAGAATATAAAAATTTTTCTTCGTGGTAAGAGTTGCAATAACTGCTAACCTCCCTAGACAACTGAATTTGCTTGATGGGTTTAGCCAATGTTGATACAGTTTAGCTGCGAGGATAATGGATGACTTGAACCCTGTAAATGCAGAAAGTCTGTATTTTATGGTGTATAATGATGCAATTGAGAGTATTTGTACAGAATTTGTAGTAGCAAAGTTTATAAAGACCTTGGTACTTGAGGCGTTTATTTTAGTTTGATGTTCCCAGTTTTGATGGGTTTTTAGGAACTTTTGGGTGGAGTCCTGATAATGTATTTCTTGCTTCCCATTTCTAGTAGCTGAGGTTGATTTAATTGGATGGGAAGTATAAATGGGGGATCTGTGGAATCAGTTGTGTGTGTTTAGTAGCCCGGACCTGGAGTATCTTGAAAAATGTTGCGGTGGTCCGGCCATCATGGAGCTGGAAGCATCATAAAGCACACAGCGGCTCTAGCAAAAGGTGATGAGAAACCAGCATGATTGGCCCAGCATTCCACGGAAGCATGGCGCTCGGAATTTCTTACTCCTTTGAGAGCCCATACTGATGCCTGCCGTTCCAGTTCCAGTTATCATGGACCGAACATAACCTGCATCTGCGTGCATACTTTCATTATTGGTGGCAAAAGCCGTGGTAGTGGGCCACCTGACTCGCCCTGGACCGAGGGCTTGTCTTACAAAGTTTGTACTACAAATGATGACTTCTGCAAAGCTTATCATTCAGTTCTCAGGGGCCTGTTGACGTACGTCGCTGTGGCTCATTTCTGTGTCTTCTTTTGCTTGGGTGTATTTCGGCTGTTGCTTCAACTTCAAATGTACATTGAGATTGGATTGGATGTATACGACCGAGTATGACAATTTCTTACCCTTCTAAGTTTGAATTGTTTGGATTCAATTAAACTTGCCTCTCGTTTCCTACCCAAAATAATAATTAAAAGAATGCCTCTTTTTTTGGTCAATATTATTGATTAAATCGTGGACTTGCATATCTGATGACGGATGATCGCTTGTCCCGAGTTTTCAAGATATATGTGCTTTCTCCCACTCTTGTTCAAATTTTCTTCGTCAGAAATGTATTTAGATTTATTTAAGGCTTTACTTGGTTCTAAACTTTGCTTGGGGTGTTCTTTTGGGGGTTTATTTTTTGGGAATTTTTTTGTTTGTTTTTGTTGTTGTTTTTTGTTTGGTCTTCTGGGTTTTGGGAAGGAAAAGAATACAAGCTCAATTCTCATTCTATTCTTATATTTTTGGAAATCGAGCAGAGTGGTTTGAAAACAAAGAAGAGTTAATGCTGATACATTCCCATAACCAGTAAAATATTCACGCTTGTCTATTGTTAGTGCTTTTAGTGTCTTCATTCTACAAATTCCTTCATGGTTTCCTCGTGGAATTTGAGCTTTAAATTACACGTAAGTTTCATCACTGCTAAAGTCAGGAGCTCAAATCCGGTGATGGCTTTGTGGAGTATTTATTTAATTGAACGGGCCTCCATCTCAAGATTGAGGGAGTCTTATTTCAAGCTGACAGAGGCAAATGTATAATGAGAGTCTCACCCCGTTGTTCTGACGAGATTATTTCATAAAAAAAAAGAGAGAGAGAGAGAGAGGGCAAACAAGAATGAATGCTGTCTAAATGATTTTTTTTTTTGTTAACCTAATACACGCCTAGGAAGACAAAGGACTAAGTCCATAGACTGGTTTATCAGTCTTTGTTGGCTTTTGTAAAGGATTAGAAAATTGTTAACCCAACCTTACTTGCCGGATTAAACTACTCGAAGTTTGAATGAAAGAAGAAAGAGGTTAACATCTACTTTTCAGTCCAACACAGGAAGACTATTATCGTGTTTGGAGTGGCGACGTTTTGTGCATACATATTATTCTACAAGGAGATGTCCTTTTGAGGTAGATTAAGTTATAGGAGTATTAAAAGGAATAAAATTGCAGTAGGACCAACAGATCCATTGAAACATCATCATTCATCATATACTCTGCAAGTCTCTTTTGTCATGACAATTTGCCGAGCGAGTTACTTCAGGAAAAGGATATTGGTCTAATGTGTATGGTCGCTGCGATTATAATAATATGCTTTCAATAATCAAGGAATTTGGTACTTGGAACACCTCCAAAACGATATTCTTCTTGGGAACTTGACCGACCCTTGCGATGACCAGCTCGTCCTTTCTCTGCAGAGTGGAAGAGAGGGCAACACACACACAGTCACACACACACTCTCACACTCTCTCTCTCCCTGCGTTTCCACGGTCGACAATTTGTCTTCGAATCCACTCCAAGCCCTACTCCTCATTTCTCGAAAACGAACAGCAACAGTCCAAACGTGGAATTTTCTTCAATCATTGATGGATATAGCCACGAATTCGAAATTAACGGAGTCAAGAAAAGGATTAAGTATAAGCCACTCCACTCCTCACAAACTAACTATCCTTCTTATTCCACCCCTTTTAAACTTCTATTCTCTTCTACTATCCTTTTCCAACTTCTCGACTCTTTTCAATCCATTGAATCTTGATCTCCAGTGGGTGAATTTGTGCATTAAACACACCCACAAGAAAAATGCCAAATAAGTAACATGTAGGCAAGATATTTATGTTAAGTACTTATCTCTTCTAGAAATTGTTTACAAAATTTTAACCTTCTTCATTTTTCTAGGTAACACTTCCTAATCCTATTTTGAAACCCGTTGCCAGTGAGCTTGTGTGATCCTGTTCATTTGATTATATTAATTTGGCGCAGGCGTTACTCTCGAATCATCACAACAAGCGTGGACGGTGATGCGCTAACTAAGGTCCATCTTGGAGACATCTGGTTTAAAAAAAGGCAGATGCAGGCGAAGATATATAAATGCTCGTAAAATTAGTCTCGTATATTCATTGAGATGTGGACTTTGTAGTTTTCTAATCTACTTAATTAACAAGGGTTAAGTGATATGTTGGGGTATGACGTCCATATCCAATTCCACAAATTGGACCAACCGAACCGCTTCTTTTCAAAAGATTTGTAAGATTAATTATTTCAGAACACAGAACTATTGCACAATTTGCTCATAGTGGAATGAAACAATTAACATGCCTCCCGGGTTCGGCTCGGTTGGTGTTGGGAAAGCGTCTTTAGGTCGTGGCATCGGGTAGTCGCGGTTGGACTTCTGTTTGGGCACAAGCACAGTGGCATTAGTCGAGGAGGCCGGAGTATTGTTCCGTCGAATCCTGGATACCCGCACTGTGTTAGTATATAAAAAAAAAAAGAATGAAACAATTAATATTATTATTACTATTCATCTATATCTGATACCTATCTAGAGCAGGCAGCAGCTGCCTAGTAGCTAGGTAGCCTGGTGGTTTCAAGTGTGCTTGGTTATGGAACATGATAGTGTATACGTATGGGGTTCAGAGAAAAGTGAAGATGGGGAGCATGCCCTAGATATAGAAGAAGAATGCAAATTTAGTATTTTGACGCCAACTTTTGACATATAGTTATATGATACAAGCGTGTGGGTTTTTGAAGCCGCATGAGGAAAGGAAAAAGCAGGGAATTTCTGGCAGACTTTGGAGAGGGATTAGGAGGCAAGGAATATCAATTGTGAAGCGAGAAATGGTATGGCTGTGTTGGGATGGTGGTGGGTTGGATGATGATGATGCACGCCGGCAGCTTTTCTCATGTCTCTTTCTCCATTTCTCTCTCTCCTCTCCCCACGAAGAACCATTTCTCACGCCTGCTCCACTTAATAATATTTATTAGTACTCCATCCCTAAGCTATCAAAAGCTAAGCCCCGTTGGAGAATGGAGGTTATGGTCATTTCTCGACTCTTGCTAGCTAGCATCGTTTTTTCCTTGTTTTTTTTTTTTTTTTTTTCTTTCTATTCTTTTGTCAGATAAATTCCACAGCGGAACACATCATGCTATTATCTACTCCACGCCCGCTTCTACGTTTTAATTTACCAAGAATTTCTTTTTTTTTTTTTTGAAAATTTTTTACCAAGAATTTCTATTTTAGTCAAGTCCCTGTTAAATTTACAAAAAAGAAGCTCCAATAACATAAACTAGAAATTAAACAAAGAAACCACCCCACCACCATTACTGTACTCCATTCCTATCATCGATTCCCCAAAAGAAGAAAAGCTAATTTTTGCTCATCACTTAGATTCTCCCCTCCTCTCTCTTTCGTCTTTCCCCACCCGACCCGTCCTGGCTCCAACATATTATTCCTCTCTCCAATTATGTTTATGTCCGAGAAAAGCTAACTAATTCTTAGTAGCTAAACTCCAACTTGAAGATCCTCCTTTCACATTTCTTCTCTACTCTACTCCAATTCAGCGTTTTTAAACGCAAAACCACCTCCAACATCTGCTCCTCGTATCCGATACTCCCAACAGAATCAAGTTCAAAAAAGCAAAGAAAACGGGCGTTTTAATTTTTGATGTGCTGTCTTCTGTTAAATGGATACTTTGTTTAGACTTGTCAGCCTCCAACAACCATCTGATCAGTCCTTCAACTCCAGCAGAACTTCAAGCAGCTCTAGATCCTCTAGACAAAACCACCATTACAACCAACATCAACAAGAAGAAGAAGAAGAATGCTTCAACTTTTTCATGGATGATGAAGACTTCTCCTCTTCTTCTTCCAGGCCGCACTACAATCCTTACCAACAGCATCAGCAGCAGCAAACTTCAAGCACCCCAACCCCTACCACCACTAACACAAGCAGCACCCCCACCCACCATCCCTATGAATCAGCTGATTTTTCTTTCTCCCCTGCCCGGGACATAAACCAAGAATTTGCTTCTTCGTTTTCTGGCAAGTGGGCTTCCGATATTCTCCTCGAAACAGCCCGAGCCATTGCGGATAAGAACAGTTCTCGCGTGCAGCAGCTCATGTGGATGCTCAATGAGCTCAGCTCACCCTACGGCGACACTGATCAGAAGCTCGCCTCTTATTTCCTCCAGGCCTTATTCAGCCGCATGACGGACTCCGGAGAGCGATGCTACCGTACCTTAGTATCTGCGTCAGAAAATACTTGCTCTTTCGAGTCAACTAGAAAAATGGTTCTGAAATTTCAAGAGGTTAGTCCGTGGACAACTTTCGGACACGTTGCTTGTAATGGGGCGATCCTGGAGGCTGTCGAAGGAGAGCCTAAGTTGCACATAATTGATATTAGCAACACGTTTTGCACGCAATGGCCTACTCTGCTAGAAGCCCTAGCAACACGAAGCGACGAAACCCCGCATCTCCGCCTCACGACGGTGGTGGTCAGCAAAGCTGGCGGGGCCGGAGGAGGAGCCGCGGGGGTGCAAAAGGTCATGAAAGAGATAGGAAGTAGAATGGAGAAGTTTGCTAGACTTATGGGCGTGCCCTTCAAATTTAACGTGTTACATCATGCAGGCGATTTATCCGAACTAAATTTATCTGAATTGGATATTAAGGAAGATGAGGCACTGGCCATCAACTGCGTAGGAGCATTACACTCGGTTTCAACGCTCGGTAATCGTAGGGACTTTCTCATTTCCATTTTTAGAAGTTTGCAGCCTAGGATCATAGCTGTTGTGGAAGAAGAAGCTGATCTTGATGTAGGATTTGATGGTTACGATTTTGTCAAAGGTTTTCAAGAATGTTTGAGATGGTTTAGGGTTTACTTCGAATCATTGGACGACAGTTTCCCGAAAACGAGTAACGAACGTTTGATGTTGGAGCGCCAAGCTGGACGCGCCATAGTTGACCTCGTGGCGTGCCCCGCTGCCGAGTCGATAGAGCGGCGAGAGACCGCCACGCGCTGGTCACATCGCTTACATGCATCCGGCTTTGGACCCGTTTCGTTTAGTGACGAGGTGTGCGATGATGTACGCGCCCTTTTGAGGAGGTACAAGGACGGTTGGTCAATGGCACA